ATGATTGCAGTCACTGTTGGAGAATTATGAAATTATGAGTTACTATTATCTAAAATGGGAATATGAGTAAAAAAGTAGTGGTAGATTTGATCACCATTTAAACAAGTATTTTGGTCAAATTTTTGTTTTGGATTCTGAAAATAGTCAAATATTATTTATTGGATTGAATTTTTCTTTATTAAAAAACTTACTTAATTTTTAAGTAATTTAAAGAGTTGATTATAGTTGTCCCTCCATTCAATTCAATATGAACTTTCCGTTGCAGTAAAATGAACGTTAAAAGTTTAAGTAAGAGTTGAACTAAAAAAAAATTTATATTTTAGTTAAACGATTCCATTCTATATTTATTTCTTATCAAATTTACATATTTAATATATGCCTTTGAATAATACATTAAATACATCTATTAAAAAAACCATATTTTATAGTCATAACCTCATATAAAAGATGTAATATAAAAATTGAAAAGAGGATCTAACATAAAATAAAGCATTAAAGAGAAAGGTATCAATTTAAATTGTTAACTTAACGTGGGGATACAAATTTTAATTGTTAATTATTACAGTCTACTAATTATGAGAAGGAAGTTAAAAGACATCTTCAATTTGTTAATAGTTATATTAAATAATGTATAAATTTAAGTGATATCTATAATTTAAAATATGCACGAGTTCCAACATTGAGTAAATGAAAATTTCATACACAGAAGGAGTTAAATTGTTAAGAAGCATATCCTAATGAAGCTATGAGAATTAATTTATGGAACTTGATAAACATTTCTAATTAGTAAGCTGTGTTTTCCGAGTTTCGGTGCAGCTTACCTAATACAAGTTGATAATTTCATAATCTACGTGATAATAAACTACGTTATCTCTCTGCAATCTAGCTGTCGAATAACATAACTGGATTTAGTATTTCGATAAGTCTGAAATTTATTTTAACATGACCAAGGCCTTGAATCATAACGTCGTTGCCTTTTAAATTTAGACACGGAACAGCAACAAGTGAGCAAAGACATATGGAGAGACAGACACACGCGAGGTAGAGAATCCACCACCTTTCAGATTAATTAATTTTGGCGAAACTTAGGAAAAAAATTTAACATATTTTATTTGATAAAAATTTTAATTTATTTTAATCAATTTTTTAAGTGTGTATTTGAAACACGTTCAGGAACAAGCTTAGAAAAAATTAAAATGGAAAGAGAGCAACCCAAACTGGACATAAAGTTTTAATCAAAATTTAGAATATAAATAATTTTGGATTCCGCAAATCGCCTATATAAAGTGGACAATGAATCTACCTAATGCAATCAATACGGCGAAAACGAGAGAGCGAGGGAGGAGTTCGAAAGAGCGAGAGCGAGAGAGGAGTATAGAAAAAAAAATGGGAGGGTGGGCTATAGCCGTGCATGGAGGCGCTGGTGTGGACCCGAATCTACCTGCTGAACGGCAAGAACAAGCCAAACAACTCCTCAATCGCTGCCTAAATCTAGGCATCTCTGCTCTTCGCTCCAATTTTTCTGCCATTGATGTTGTTGAACTTGTGGTATATAACTTCTCTCTCACTGTTGATATAAAACTTCGTTTGTGATTTGTATTTGTTGTTAATGGTTTTCTAGTTAGTCATGTCTGAGATATTTGTTCATTAATGAGAAATATTTTATTTGCATGAAAACGGAGGAGTTAATGTGGTGTTGGTTGCGTTATTCTATTAGGTGAGAGAGTTGGAAACTGATCCTCTGTTCAATTCTGGGCGCGGATCTGCTCTCACGGCAAAAGGAACGGTGGAGATGGAGGCAAGCATTATGGATGGGCCTAAGAGAAGATGTGGTGCCGTATCCGGATTAACAACTGTTAAGAACCCGATTTCTCTTGCTCGTCTCGTCATGGACAAATCTCCTCATTCGTATATAGCTTTCTCCGGTGCCGAGGAATTCGCAAGAGAAGAGGTTATTACTTTTTATTACCTTTTTTTGTCCTTTTATTTAAGCCACGTGTACAGTCTAAATCTGTGAGAACAACATATGCCAGTTCTCAAATATTGACACGTTTAAATAAGTTGTGTAGGGTGTTGAGTTGGTGGAGAATGATTACTTTGTAACTGACGAAAACGTGGGAATGCTAAAATTGGCGAAGGAAGCCAACTCCATCCTGGTACGTTGAATCATTGATAACCGTCCGTCATTTGAATCTTGTGATTGTGAACAAATGGGTTCCACTCGCTAACTTTAAAATTTTGTCTTTTAACTAGTTTGATTACAGAATCCCAACAGCGGGAATGGAAAGCTGCAGTGTGGGTGCTGCAGCCATGGGTAGCCCCTTGCAAATGAATGGGCTTCCAATAAGCGTGTACGCACCAGAAACAGTTGGATGCGTGGTGGTGGACCGGGAGGGACGATGCGCTGCAGCCACATCAACTGGAGGGCTGATGAATAAAATGAGTGGGAGAATTGGTGACTCACCACTCATTGGTGCTGGGACGTATGCATGTGAATTGTGTGGAGTGTCATGCACTGGAGAAGGGGAGGCCATCATACGTGGAACCCTAGCTCGTGACTTGGCGGCTGTGATGGAATATAAGGGTCTGGAGCTGCAAGAGGCAGTGGATTTTGTGATAAAAGAAAGACTTGATGAAGGACAAGCTGGGTTGATTGCGGTGTCAAAGAAAGGTGAGGTTGCATGTGGGTTTAACACAAATGGAATGTTCAGGGGTTGTGCAACCGAGGATGGATTCATGGAGGTTGCTATATGGTAGTTTAGTTTAATACTTCCTTTTTTTTTGCCTTTGGTGCACCTCTTGTGTTCATATCATATGCACCTACTAGTTAGGCTCCATGTCTTATTATATAAGACTTTCGCTAATAAAAATGGACTGTTTATTATCTACCATACTCTGTGGTAGTTTAATTTAAAGGTATAGTGTTGATGAAAATTTGGGTCCTCCCACTAATTATGTTTTTATTCGGTCTTCTTTCTCAACAAATAAAAGCAACATAAATTTGTCCTATACGGCACCTTTCTGCGGGATATTTATGCAATTGGCACCACTTTTGAAATGGAATCATTCAATTATTTAAACAAGAACGGAATTTCTACTTTAGAATGAGACAGCCATATATACCTTATTTGTTTTCATTCCAATATTTTCGTTTCATATTCTTATTCTTGCGGAAAAAATCAGTTGGACACTTGTTAGCCGAGTTGTTTGCTACTGCTATATCATTAATATTAACTGGAATATTAATGTTTCAATTAAATGAGCAGTTTATCTAGAGGTGTAAATACCATAGAGGGTTCAATTAATCAAGTAGTCCTAAGGTTTGTCTAAGGTGTAAATACCATAGACGGTTCAATTAATCAAGTAACCTCAGGTGTAAATACCATAAGAGGGTTCAATTAATCAAGTAGTCCTAAGGTATACCATAAGAGGGTTCAATTAATCAAGTAGTCCTAAGGTTTACCATAAGAGGGTTCAATTAATCAAGTAGTCCTAAGGTTTGTCTAAGGTGTAAATACCATAAGAGGGTTCAATTAATCAAGTAGTCCTAAGGTTTGTTTAAGGTGTAAATACCATAAGAAGGTTCAATTAATCAAGTAGTCCTAAGGTTTATCTAAAGGTGTAAATACCATAAGAGGATTCAATTAATCAAGTAGTCCTAACGTTAGGTGTAAAAACCATAGAGGGTTCAATTAATCAAGTATCTAAAGGTGTAAATACCATAGAGGGTTCAATTAATCAAGTAGTCTTAAGGTTTGTCTAAGGTGTAAATACCATAAAGGGTTCAATTAATCAAGTAGTCCTAAGGTTTGTCTAAGGTGTGAAGACCTAATCAAGTGGTCCAACTTCGTTTGACTGATATATATAACTTGCACAAAATAAATAAGCAGCCGAACTCGAACAGTTAAACTGGCCTTACGACTAAGAGGCACGAATGTTGAGCACCGTAAATGTTTGAACTTACAAAATAAAGAGCGGACGAGAAGGTTAACACACTAACTTATTCATAATTTTCAAATATTTGTCTCACAAACATACAAATTATAATCATATGTTGTTACTTCTTGCCACCCCAAACAGCGTTCTTTGCGGATTGAATAGTTTTTGATATAGAATCGACTGCCCCAGCTATGGCGCCACCACAGGTTCCTGAATTTCCCCTGTTGCGAGTCAGATGAACCACTCCCACTTTCTCCTTTGTCAGCTCTCTGTCCTTCCCTGCCGGTGACCTATAATCAGTTGTCTCCACTGTGGTTTCTATTTCTTCACTTTCCTAACCACATGCAAAGAGATCAGTTACTACTTATGCTAATCAAAGAAGCAAAGAATTACTACCAATCAATAACAAAAAATATAAAGCTACTCAGAAGAGAGGAATATAAAATACTCTTGTTGTACTCATATTGCTTTATTTTGGAAATTTCAAGCACCAATTTGGGTTATATTTCCTGCCTGAGGATCTTCATATGCAAAACCTACCACACTTGTAGTTCAGTTCCTCTGGCTTAGAGGTCATGTTCTGGGACACGTTTCCTATGTGGTGGCTTATTTTCCCTGAAATCGTAGCCAAAATTCGCAATGTGTAGACACGTTACACCGTTTTTTGTTATATGTGAGTTGGATATGAATGTTAGTATTCATGCTTGATTTCATCTATAACTCAAAGGACAACAGAAATGATAATTAGATGTCAGAGGATGTTGTCCAAACTGTCAGTCACATGCCAAAGAGGGTTTACAGGTAGGGTTAATTATTTTGAAGGCTTCTGTCAAAACTGCGACAGGCCACCTCTTATAATATTTACCATTGAGATAATTCAATAGTTGGGCAGAACATGATTCTATTGAAAAAAAAACAAAACAAAACAGTGGATTAGGAGAACCAAAAGAACTGCAGAAAAATCGAAGGAACCAACCTGCATTTCTGACACTTTTAACATTTCAACAACATATTACTGAAACAAACGATTCAAGCTTAATTGAGACTGTGTCAGTAAAAAGAGAAAATGAACTCAATGGCAGAGATACAGACAATCCGCTGATAATAAAATATTACCAAGATAACCTAGAGCAGAATCACTATCAAAGAATAGTACCTATCATAACTGTGGACAAAATTGGACATAATAGGGTCGACGCATGATGCCATTGACTGCACTACAACTTGAGGAAAACAAACTCTTCAATGGCGGGTGTCTCTCCAATTCTTTTTAGTGCTTCCCTGCTGGGTTCCTCGTCCACTCCAATGGTCATTACTGCTTGTTTTCGGGGAGCATTCCTTCCAACACTCATGAAATTTACATTAATATTCTCCTCACCCAGGAGACTCCCCACCTTTCCAATGATACCTGGTTGATCAATCTGCCTGCACAGTATGAGGCTGCCTTCTAGGCTCACATCAACTCCAAAAGAACCTACCTTGGTAAGATGAGGTTTTCCATCCTTAACTCTTCCCTCAACTGTAATCTCGCCAAAGTCTGAAATTGCACTTGCAAATTTAGATTCTACGTTAGCAATTTGAACCTGGATAGACTCCAGTGGATTCTCAGGTGAACCATCTAACACAATACGCTCTTCTGTAATCCTCAGCCCTCTCTGTTTAGCAGTGAAATCAGCATTCACTAAGTTCACAAAAACACTGGAAATGGGTTCAATGATGCCTTTAATAATCATTGCTTGAAGAAGCCGGGTGTCAAGATCATCTGGACTTCTGGCAGAAGCATAAGTCACCTTCACTGTTTTCACACCACTTCCACCAGCCACCAGTTGCACAGCCAGTCTGCCGAGCTTCTCAGCCAGTGCAACAAATGGAGCAAGCTCTGATAAAACCTGAGACCACAGGAAAAAAGTTAAGTTCATTTTTTCTCCAGAAACACGCACATACCACAAAGCAGAGCCCAAAACACAGCAATTAATTAATTCTACCTAAAATTCCATTTATGAAAATGCGGGAAATTGAAGGACGGAAGGAGTTGGAAAGGACAGGAATTTCAAGTTCATGATACTGTTAAATAACTAATTGGATCCCGCCACATGCATTATGATGTATAAATAAAAGGGCATATACAAAATGTCCATAAGATGTTTAAGTAGTTGAAACGTATCGTTGAATAAGAAAGAATTAATACTGAGAAGTTTCAATTATTAATACTGAGAAGTTTCAATTTTTGGTTAGCAAACAATCAGGAGATAATTTCTATATGACTACAAAAAAAATAAAAAATAAAAAAAATGATTGTCCATCTGAACTAGAAGCAGCGGGTAAATCTAAACACCTAGAGTGATACGCATAAGATAATACCTCTGCAGGAACCATGGGTGCATTCACGGCAGTAGCAGCAAGCTCCCCTTTCAAGGCTCCTACAACAGCTTCAGCTATTTCAATAGCTACACCTTCCTGATTACAGAAAACGAAATTCATAAGCCCACTTGACCAAAAATCAAAGGAAGAAAAAGTATGACGAAAGCCAAAACAGATGGCCTAGCACACCTGAGCCTCCATCGTGCTAGCACCAAGATGAGGAGTTGCAGTAACTTGTTCATGTAGCACCAACTTACTGTCTTTCGCTGGGGGTTCTTCTGTGAACACGTCAAGGGCAGCCTGCATAAACACAAATTTTCAGTTTTCGCCTTGATGATTCTAAAGCATAAGTAATGACATGTTTGTCAATGAATGAAGAACCTGTGCAACAATCCCAGAATCCAAGGCTCTTATTAGGGCTTCCTCATCAATAACACCACCACGGGCAACATTGACAATTCGAACTCCTTTCTTCATCTTAGAGAAAGCCTCATCATTAAACATTCTCAAAGTAGCAGCGGTGAGAGGCATGTGCAATGAGATAAAATCCGCAGTTGATATGGCTTCATCAAAGCTTACTAACTCCACACCAATTGCACGGGCACGGTCTGCTGGAGCATATGGATCATGAGAAATCACTTGCATCCCAAGGCCCTTAGCCCGTCGTGCTACTTCTGACCCAACTTTTCCAAATCCCATCACAGCAAGTGTTTTTCCCACCAGTGAAACACCAACATATTTACTCCTCTGCCACTGCCCTGAATTCACCCAATCCCACCAATGAAAAAGTTTTGTAAAATTAAAAAGAATTCCAATCGTTATAGATGGTAGTGAGCAAATAACACGTTACAATACCAAATTTATGAAATGTCCTCAAAATTGAGGTAATAGTATTCTCTGTTAGTAACTTCGTCAAGACAAAAATGAAAATATCACTCCGCTCTATATCGTTGAATTTTCTTTTATCGTCAAAATTATTAAGATCACGGAAAGCTTCGTTAACTAAAAGCACATGACCCGTTCGAACAAATGCCAAATTGAATAATCAAGCCAAAAAAAACAGAAACAAAAAAACATCACAAACCCGCTTTGACAGAAGCATCAGCTTGCGCAATACTCCTAGCCATAGCCGTGAGCAACGCAATCCCATGTTCGGCGGCTGCAATTGTATTAGCGGTAGGCGCATTAACGACAAGACATCCATGTTCAGTGGCAGCCGACAAGTCAACATTATCAATCCCCACACCCGCGCGACCAATAACCTTAAGCCGACCACCCGACGATTCAAAAACTTCACGAGAAACCTTAGTACCACTCCTAACAATCAACGCGTCACAAAGAGAAATTTTTGTGCACAGCTCTTCGGGAGATAAGTTGTAAGAGCAATCAACGTTGGCGAAGTTTTTCAAGAGTTCAAGTCCGGGTTCTCCGAGTTTTTCGGTGACAAGGACTGTGGGTTTTGTGGACATAAAGGTTGCCAAAACGGCAAAGCGTTTGTTAGTTTTGCGAAATGGAGGAATTGAGGTGGTTGGGAGAGAAAAATTCCATGAGAGAGTTGGGTTGTTTGGACTGAACATCAAGTTGTTCATTGAACAAGAGGCCGCCATTTCACTTCGTCCTTCTCTCTCCCCTCTTTTTGGAGGGTTCAGCTTTTTCCAATAAAGACTATTTGCATTGCTTTTAGAGTAGATATACAAACAATGATGTGTAGCCACGTCAATGATTTAAATATTCAATTGGATGAGTAGTTCATTTGAATAACTTCAACGATTTTTAATCGATTCCATCTTCACGTGGGATCTGAGTGTACATAAGCAACGGAATAAAGTGTGCTTCATTCAAAATATGAGTAAGCGACTTTTTCCCACCCAAGGTTTGCCCTAAGAACTTTTCGACCCAAAAAGTTTCAAAATATCACTTTTTTACTCAAAGTTAATATTTCGGTACAACCTAAAGCCTTTTCAGGTTGATTCTAGTGGCAAAAATTTTCTCCATCACCATCATTTGAACCTCCAGTCTCCTCTTTACAAAACTCCTCTTATTTCGATACCTGATTTCTAGTCTATTGACTATCACCGCAATGCTAGGGTTTCTTATTCTTAGCTGATTTTCGGTGGCGAATATTCAATCAATCACTACCATTCGATCCATTGACCTCTATTCTATAAAACTCCTCTAACCCGGGCTCCTGATAACTCGTCAAACGGTAGCTGAGAAAGAGAAGTGTATTTGGATATTAACGGAATATAAACTTTGGGTGAAAACATGGTATTTTGAAACTTTTTTGTAAGAAAGTGTCATTAAGGCAAACCTTGGATGGGAAAAAATCGTTTACTCTTCAGTCTTCAAAATATTAAGTAGTAACAGTGACAAGATTTTTGGAGTTCATTAAAAATATGCATTTGGAGATTTCGAATAAATAGTCATACTGAAAATCCATCTTTTATTAACTCAAATGTTTTACTAATTCAGGAAACACACTTGGGTTACTTGAGTGTAGTGAGATAGGCATGAGCCAATTTGATCCCCAAGTGAACCTCAGATATTGTAGTAAGGTGAAGGTGATCGTCCTTAAGGCGCAACCCCTTGGCGTCTACACATTTAACAAGAGGTATATTAATTCCCTGCTGAGCTTTTCTCACGGTATCTACATATTTGCCTTCTCCTGATGCAATGGCTACCTGCAACCAAAACGTTTATACGTTAAACACGTCAACTTTCTAACGTTTCACTGAAGTTCATAAATGTTTAATTGCTGATGATTACTTAGCCCAGGTTGAAGAGAATGAGAGATTCAGAATGTCATATGTTCAGAAAGCCTCAACGTAACTAACTAGAATTTGTTAAACCCCAGGGCCAACTACTGTCTTTTATCTCCTTGCCCCAACCAACAAAGGAAACTTAATTATGCACGACCAACAACAAAACAATAATTTTTGACATCTGGATCTGCCCTTGCACAAGTCAAAACATCAATCAGTTACATCACTGGCACCGGCTATCTTACACAAATCTATTTGAATGTCTTAACAGTCTTTAAGGCCAGCCTAGAGATATCTAATTGCTAAATTAGCCGCGTAAATGGGATAAAGACTTGACATTGTTTGGAAGTAGGATTAGCTAGATCAGCATACTGGAAGATTTGCAAATTACAGCACACAAAGGTGAGGTAAAAAAAAATATTGAATACCAAACCTGGATAATGAGAAGAGATGGGTTATTAAGATCAGAACGTAAATCCATGATAAAATTCTTCATATTGCCTGCATATGCTTCAGCGTCTTCTTTCCTCACTGTATCACTCTCACCCTGATACCACAAAATCGCTCGAATTATTCCCCCTTCACTCACAGATACATTGGCTCGTCTCACCAATTCACGGTACAATAGAGTCCCTTTTCCCCACTCGGTAATTTTGGTCCCACCAATAGCACAAGGGACCAAACCCACCACACCAACTCTCGACTCATTGGCTCGTAGTCTTACTTCATTAGCAAATGCCATCCCTGGTCCAACACCACAAGTCTTCCCTACATCAATGTCTGAATGCAGTGGTTCATGTGCTACTTCCCAAGATAGTTTAGCACTCAGTCGAAGAATGGATGGGTCGGGCTTGCACTCCGGTGGGACGTCACCGCTCCATTTGCCGGAACTGACGCCTCCTCGACCGGCCATGTTGCTCTGTCCTGCTAAGACAAATATGTCTTTAGGAAGATCACTGGTAGCTACACTGCAATGGGCTATTAGCAACACTGAAAGTAAGGATGACTTTGACATGTTCATGATTTTCATTAAGCTCAAAATGACAACTTTGTCAAGAATACATTTGCTTTGAGAAAGAATTTCACCGAGACGTTTGAGACTGTGGTGCCAACAAAGATTCTGAGGTTTCTGCCTAATATCAATTTTGAGAACACTTACTTTAGAAAGTCGCAAAAAGAGACAGCTGAAAAAGAGTATGTTACTATGTATAGTGTTTTATTATTACTATGTATAGTGTTTTATTATAAACGTTGAAATTTTAGTGGTAATATTTTACTCAAAAGTTCTTATTGTCATTTAATATGAGATGTTTATAATAGGAGTTGTGATGTGAGCGGAGAAAATTAGGAGACAAGTAGACATTAATGGATCCTAACAAAATTTGACTGGAGACTCAGATAAACCACTCATAAAACTACAAAGAAATTTCAAAGTCCTGAATAGAATCTAAAAATCAGCAACTTTTGTTATATGTATGTAGTGAGGTTGGGATTTAAAACAAATATGGTTTGGCCCTATTAGGAAAGTTTAGCAAATATATACAATTTCTCTTGATTCAGAAAAGCAAGTAGCTGTAGCAGTAGTAGCCATCCTGTTCCTGCCTTACATCTTAAAAAGGAAAATTGGTTTTGGAGTTAAATCAAATAGATTTATCATTGATATAAAAAGCATGAGTTTCCCGTGTACATAAATTATTAGGTACACGCATGCAACAAACTAGCACGCCTGTCCCAAAACAAAGCTCTCGTGGCTACTAAAACTGAAAAGTAGATACAAGGATTGAAATACTCAATATGACAAGGAATTTGAAATTCATTGTCTAAAAGGATCATCCTGGAGCCGGAGGTTTTATATATACCAACAATTTCATCCTCATTAATTGTCCAAAACTGGCCTTTGTCCATCACCAGCATCTTCATTTTGATTTGAGTAGGCAATGGTTTCTTTTCAGTTATCTATTATTATCTCAAATTTCGTTAGTTGGTGTCAACCCAGAAATGTTCATCAATAGATTTTGAATCTCCATGCACTTTATTAGGCAGGTTAATAATTTTGAACAAGAAAACAACGGGAATGTCATATGATCAAAGCAAATCAAACTTGTCTCAAGAAGAACCTTAATTCTTCGAAAAATCTCTTGAGATAAAGGGCCACTAAATCTGGAACTCGTTACTGTTTAATTTTTTATATTAAAAGTAAATACTGAATAATTTTTTTTAAGTCTAAAGCCAACAATGTGATTCTGACTCTGACTCTGAGAGGTATAAATCCTGCCATTCTGATGAAATGTTCCGTGAAGACTCCAGTCCTGCTGTCTTGCAGTTCCCAAATAATTAGAGAAAGAAAATAGAAAGCAAAGAAGGCAGCATATTCCAGCTGGATATGCACTTTTACTCTACTAAAATCTCGCGTGTAATATTGCCCACTAAGAGGAAGAGGATAATAATTCTGTGCTGTCAGTCATGGCCTATAAAAAGACCCACTATTAATTTCATAATTTGTAAGTTCTAATGTCAGTTTACGCATATGGGACTGAAACTTATATCAGTGACAGGAGCGCTGGTTGCACAACTTAATGCGAATAGCTTCCAATATATCTACCAGTAAGATAAGCCTTGAATTGTGAACTCCATTTAGAACCAATCCTCAGTTAAATAAATCAAAATTAACTGGATGAGGACCAATTTTTTTATTACTTGCACAGGGGAATAATTATGTACGTATACAATAATACAATTAATTCCACCACAATAATACTATGCTATGTTAAAATGATTGATAGAGAAGTGAGCAATTGAATTAAAAGAAAGTAAGAAACGTAATTAGTGAACATTGTTGAAGCGTTACTAATAGCATTGGCTTTAATGGGGCTTGGTATAGACCGTAGGAATGCATCAGCCAACATCTCACCAAGTCGAACCTGGGAAGGAGTAGTGAGGTGAAGCCCATCAGGCTCTAGCGGTAGTCCCTTGGCGTCTACGCATTGCACGTTTAGGAGATCACTTCCTAATTGAGCTTCTCTGACTATGTCCACGAAAGGTCCTTGTCCTGATGCAAGACCCACCTAACAAAACCACCAAACAAACATTTTTCAAATGTAAAGTGTAAACTACTCACCTAGTACTTAGTTTTAGTCATACGTTACTTACACAGTGGTTGGGCAGCACAAAATATTTAAGTTTCATAATTACTATCGCAGTACATTGCTGTCATTACCCACCAAAACGCTTTTATTTATCTTTAAGGGCCCAGTGTTTTCAATCTTATATTTAGATATTAGGATTAGGAGAGGTTGACCTACCCCATCTCTACCGTCAGTCGTCAGATCACCCCATTATTTTTTTGGGTGATCTAACGGCAGGGCTGGTGGTATTTCACATAATTTATAATTATAGGCATGCAATTTAAACAGATGTTCACTCCCCCAGGAGCTCAAACTTTTTTAGAAGAACATTATTTTGCCCAGGACCAGTACTTTATTTTAAACAATTTAGCCAATAGGAGCAAAAGCAGTCACTTGCATCTTGATAAAACATTTGCACTGCCGTTATTTTATTTTATCTTATGTTTTGTATTTTTGTGTGCAAGTGTTGTCACTTCAAGACACATCCACTCAAGTAGCAGTAAAGATAAAACCAGAAAGAAAATAACTCAAAACCTAATAATAAAAAACTCGGTAAGCTTTTTAAATGAGAAATCAAGTTAATATACCTGGATTATTGGTAGCATAGGATCCTGCAGATCGGAACGTAAATCCGTGAAGAACTTCTCCAATCTCCCTTTATACGATTCTGCATCTTCAAGAGTGATCGTATCAGCCTCTCCCTGATACCAAAGAAGTGCTCTGATAACTCCATCACTCTGCAAAGCCACCCGAGTTCTCCTCACCATCTGCTCGTAATTAAAACTCCCTTTTCTCCACTCAGAAATATTAGTTCCACCAATGGCACAGGGGACCAGACCAATCACACCAAAGCTGCGGTGTTTAGTCAAAATTGCATTGGCAAAGGACATCCCTGGTCCAACTCCATTGGTTTTGTCAAGATCAATGTCGGCATGAAGTGGTTCATGGGCTTGAACCCAGGTGAATTTGGCATTGAGACGGAGGATTGATGGGTTAGGCTGGCACTGAGAAGGGACGATGCCGTCCCAGCTGACGGTATTGGTTTTAGTGTTGTTAATAACACCACCTCGTCCGGCCATGTTACTTTGGCCAGCTAGGATAAATATGTTTTGTGGTAGTTTAGATTTTACTGAGCAGGCGTGCGAGAGAAAGATGAAGAAGAAGATGGAAAGCATTCTTCACTTTGCGTGCGAGATGTCGTAAATGGAGGGTCCTGTAACTCCTGTTACTCTATCTTTTCATGACATGTTGGAACCAAATGGTTGCTTGTAATATAGTTCACCCATTGGTTCATTTCTTTTTTAATGTATATATTTTTGTACCGGATCTTTAACTTCTCGCAATGTTCGCTGTCAGCAGTTTGAAAAAGATGAGACTTGAGAGTATATTATAAGATTTTTGTTTTACTTTATTTTCAGCAAAATAAATGTGTTTACATAATTAGCCTAATTAATATTTAAATGTTTTCTTAAAATATATAAAGTGGACTATTTGTTATCATTTATTTTTTAGATAAACGTACATATGTTGCAAACTACGAGGAGTACCTTGTAATGATTTATATTTGATTCCGGATTCCCAAGTTCCAATACAAGAGCTCTTCCAACATCAATATGTAAATGTATTTTTCTAATCCCAAATCACAACTAGTAACAGAGAAAGATAAATAAGTGAATTGACGGTAGCAGAAAGGTACATGGCAGGTTGTGGATCTAAGACAAAAGAGATAAAAAAATAACCGGTAAAATTCATATGAACTAAAATCTTTACAAGATAATTAGGGATGCTAGACAAGGCAAACTATGGGCTATGGCCGATGGACCCAATGATGAAATAAACTCGATTGTAACAAGGACTTAGGTAAGGACTTATAAGCTGCATTCAGTCAAGGTTCAAGCCCTGGCTTACTTGGACTAACCCTGCCCGCTTTTTTTGGTGGTCCGGCCTGCACCTAATATAGGCCCAAATTTCTGAGCCCAAGAGTTGTCCATAAATGAAATACCGAGCCCACACTCCCGATAAAGCCCTTGAAATTAACATTTCTTCAGATTTTAGTCCAACTGGACCTCATTTTAGACATTTAATTTACGTCCTCTTTTCCATTATCACGGATTCACAATTTGATTAAACCGTGGAAGAATAATCACCTTTAATTTCCACGTGCTTCACATGTAGAAACTGTTGAAACATTTGAAAATTGAAACAAAAGAAGATGAGGGTATTGTATAATTTCCTGTCTTCCGATACTTATGTATAACATATTAGATAGACAATGAAAGATCATGTCCTTTTAAAGAGTAAGTACTATATATACAGCATATACTATATACGTCGCACCAAAATGATTATACCATGTATAATCTTTACGCCTGTTAAATAAAAAACATGTATATATACTCCCTCTATTTCTTTATAAAAGTCATTTTTAGGGTATTAATTTTTTTCAAAATAAATGACAATCTCTTTTTTCAATGTTTTCTAACCCACGTTTTCATTCTCTATCATGTCCCTCATCTCCTCTCTCTATCTTTTTCTCTATCTTGTCCCATACTCCTCTCTCTCTTTACCTATCTCTTCCCCTCATCTCCTCTCTTTCACAATTTCTCTCTCTTTATTTTAATATTTCACACATCTGTTGCAACGGGGAAAACAAAAATTTCCCACCTGCAATATAAGGAAAAAGTCAATTCGCTGCACAGTTTTTTATTTATTAAAAATTGTGTAAAAACTTAAAACGATAGTTATATTGAAATGAAGGGAGTATATTACTTTTTTTTTTTTTTTTTTTTATCATATATGATATATTAACAAGTTTCATGATATACTAATAGCTAGGATAAATATGATATTTTTCTTTCTTTTGATGAATGATAATAGAGTGTCCAAATTAGTTTACGCGTAACCCAACTAATCCTAAATATGATATATCGATTGTCTCACCTAAAATATATTCCCAAAATTTATGTCAGTTTTTACTGTACTTTATATTTATGAGTTATTTGTGCTCCAAAATAATTGTAGAATAAGTAGTTGACATATATAATTGGAATAGGAAGGTATTAATTGACATTCATGTAGTAATTTAGTATGAAGAGCAAATGACTTTACGTTTTGATATGCATTCATCTCCATTCACTTATCCTTTTGTTGAAACAGTCCATGCCACTACTTAATCCTCAACAACCCACTCTGTCACTCAAAACTCAAAAGTCAAGAGTCGGCTGTCCTCTCCTCTGTATCAATAAAAGCGATTGCGATATGTTTACCAACCCGTTACTTATCTCCAACTTAATTGGGAGCTCCAAACTGTCTAACGCTTCATTCATAAGGAATCTGCAACAGGGGTTCCTTTTCCACTTTTGGGATCAAAATTTAACCCATTAAGCTATGATATCAGTCTCTCCATACTTTTTTACTTTATTCTCGTCCACATATTTACATCTAATTGGGTTTTTGATTTGCAGAGAGGAACTTTCTTAATTATAAATTGGGGACGTTGAGCATTGTGAATTGGACCGATTCAAGAGAGAAGATATTTTCACCGAGGCCTAAATATTATGATAATTGTTAATAAAATGCCGTAGTCAACTTGGACTGAGACACTATAACTTCCGGGTGAAGTTGAGAAAACGTTGGTTTGATCTAATCTAGCAGTAGCAGCCGCCCAGAGTTGTTAATATTATTGTTGAAGACATTTGGTTTGACACGTAATAAATTTAAATCCCTCTAACCTTACAACCATTGCAAGAGGTTGCTAGTAGTGGATGTGGATTCCTTTTGATAAGACCCCCCCATATTTGATTGCTTTCCAAGCTTTAGTTTTATGGATGGAGACGTATAGACTTGTATTCAATTTAGCCAATCATTCACTTGATTAATATCTAACACGAAAACAATGTTGGTTGTAATCCACTTAATTATTTGATTTTTCCTAAAATAATTATTAGTGGATGACAAAACAATAAGTTGGGTGGGGGCTACAACTCCAACGCCCAATTTCGATCCATCCTTTGCCCAGTTTTGACTTTAATCAGTCAATTCCCAATGGGTCCATTCCCTTGTTTTATACAAATAAAATATTAGAATGAGAACCACGTTATCCACTCCAGTCTAAGGGGGGTACTCTTTATTCTTATCTAAATGGTTATAAAATTGGAACTCCATTAACTTCTTTCTCCATAGTGTAAATAACGTACATATGGGCAGTTGGAACATGTTTACGCGTGATTTTAATACCAACTACTCTTACTATAAAATATTAATTTGTTTATAAAAATTACACGTGAACTATTATAATCAGATATAAAGACTAAATAATAAATAAGAGATATAATTTTTAAAGTGGTTTGAATGCTTAAAGCGAATCCTACGTCAACTATTTCTTTTATATACGAAAGATTACAAGAGGTCACATAAAACGAACAGCGAATAGAGGTACAATAGCTAATTATTAAGAGAAAATATCAAGTCAATTTCTTTTTCGTAGGTTATTTTTACTTTGAAAAAAAAGATTACAATCAGAATGAGAGCTCAATATTAGAATCCTGAAAATAAGAGGGAGAGCCCTCTATTTATAGTAGAGGAATTCAAGGTAATGATTACAAATCTACAAGTGGGTAGGTGTCGTGCAAGTTTTTCATTGCCTCCCATTGGTCGATAATTTAAAAAATATCCTCAAATTATCTGGGGCTTAGACAGGTGTGCAGTCCTCAGTTACTCATAGACAAAACCTAAATTTGCTAAGTTGGTGACAGCCATATTCTTTTTGTCATGGAACAACGTGACAGCTCTTAAACGGACCAAAACCTTTTTGAATTTTGATTGGAACTTGTTGACGTATGCGAACGTCAGCCTTGATTTTTTAAGCATAACTATAACTGAATCTGAACTTGCTCAGGCCTTATCAGGATGTCTCTTTCTAATGCTCTGTATAACAACTCACCTTCATCTGCATTCAATTCCTATTTGCTCTACTTGACTCAATTTCGATCAAACCTCAATTCATCACACATATATGGTTCTCCATTATGTATATTGTCAGGTAAAAACTGGACTTAAAAGACATAAATCAACTAAATTTTAATTTAATATAAGGGGGCCAAAGTTACGCCTTCTGGACTTAAAGACAGCTCCTAATTAGATAGGCAGAACCTATTTATAAGATGACTAATTATGAGTTATCATGTCACGATTATGAAAAAAAATTTATAAAATTGAATTATAAATATAGTATTATCCCTCTGAAAATTTTTTAAACATGGAAACTGATTTATAATAGGTATTTATTAATTTTGTACATAAATGCTGCTGTTAGTTGTAAATACGAGAGAGTTTTGGGATAAAAACAAATGTTATGGTTGGTTGTAAATATGAGAGAGTTTTGGGATAAGAACAGAGGGAGCGATCGAAAACTGAGAAGTTTGTGTTTGTAACTATAGTGATTGAATGATTAGATTTTTGAGTGTAGAATAGAATAAAGTAGAAGCAATCTCTGATTCTTATCGACTGAGAATCCTGGTGTATCAGAGAATTGAGATACGTGTCATTAAAAAAAAGTTTGTGTTTGCGGAGAAACAGCTAAAAACACGCAATACGATAGCACACGGTGATAAACGTCAGGTGATCACATCGTACGGTGGATGATTCAGCAGAAAATCGTGAAATGGGCCCCATTCAATATCCGAATCCCGAGAGTATGATTCTCTTTGGAACTCGGGGCAAGTGACTTATAGCTGGCAACAACTGACGTGGCTATATTTTTGAAATCCTACGGTTAGGTCGTTAAAGTTTCCAAACCACACTTGCCACATCACTCACTAACCGACAAACTATTGCTAACCCCACAAATAGACCCTACGTGGCTGATCAATGTACATGATTAGCCTACTAGCTGTCGGATATTTGGTGATCATTGATGTGTCCACGTGGCTGCCGATAAGGGTCCCAGTCGAAACACAACGGGCCCATCTTAGGACAAGTTGAACACGATATTTATGGGTTGGTCTACATCACTTTATGTGGCACACCAATAATTTAAGAGAGAGCATCACACCACCACTACCAACAAGATAAGTTGTTTGGTTTGGGCCTTCTCTTGGGCCCACTTTATTCATTATTTTGGTCAAAACGCACGTTTTATCTTCTGTTTAATTTACTTTTTAAGTGAAAGCTTCCTAATCATATGGTTTTTACTATGAAGGGAGCCAGCTTTCATT